CTTCCCTCTCCCTTACACACACACACACACACACACACACACACACACACACACACACACACACACACGTTTTCTTCATTCATTCATTGATGAGCACTTAGGTTGTTTCCAAGTCTTGGCTGTTGTAAGTAATGCTGCAGTGACCATGGACTGCAGATATCTTTTCAAGTTGTTTCCTTTGGAAACAAAAAATCCAGAAGTGAAGTTGCTGGATCATAGGATAGTTCTACTTTTAATTTTTTGAGGACCTTCATACTGTTTTCTGCAGTGGCTGCACCAGTTTATATTCCAACCAACAGTGTACATGGGTTCTCTTTTCTCTGCCTGCTCGCCGACACTTGTAATTTCTTATCTTTTTGGTAAGAGCCATTCTAACAGGTTTGAGGTGATATCTCATTGTGGTTTTGATTTGTATTCCCCTGATGATGAGTGATACTGAACACATTGTCATGTACCTGTTGACCATCTGTATGTCTTAGGAAAAATGTCTCATCAGATCCTCTGCCCATTTTTAAATTTTTTTTTTCAACGTTTATTTATTTTTGCGACAGAGAGAGACAGAGCATGAACGGGGGAGGGGCAGAGAGAGAGGGAGACACAGAATCGGAAACAGGCTCCAGGCTCTGAGCCATCAGCCCAGAGCCTGACGCGGGGCTCGAACTCACGGACCGCGAGATCGTGACCTGGCTGAAGTCGGACGCTTAACCGACTGCGCCACCCAGGCGCCCCATGCCCATTTTTAAATGGACTGTTTTTTTGCTATTGAGTTGTATGAGTTGTTTATATATTTTAGATACTAGCCCCTTACCAATATAATTTGAAATGTTTTTTTTCATTCTGTAGCTGGCCATTTCATTTTGTTGATGGTTTCCTTCACTGTGCAGAAGGTTTTCAGTTTGATGTAGTCCCAGTTGTTTATTTTTGCTTTTGTTGCCTTTTGAGAATTCTGGTTCTAACAACAAATTGAAGAAACAGTATAACAGTAACAAAACGAAAACTAGCTGAAATACATTATTTTCACTTCAGGATCAAATCCATTTTAATGATATAGTTGAACTTTCTCTTTTTTAGGTGTGTAGAAAAAAAACGTATCTGGCTCTTAGTAAAGAGAAATCAACACATTAAGTATAAAATTATGCTTTTGTATAATTTGCTCAGACCTTTGAGGCTTAGCACATTCTCTCTGAATGTAAAACCCACCTCTATAGGGAGATAAACTTGCTAGGGTAAATCAAGCAGAAAATTTGCCCTCAGATTTAAATCTTGGGGCACCTGAGTGGCTCAGTCAGTTAAGTGTCTGACTCTTGATTTTGGCTCAGGTCATGATCTCACAGTTCATGGGTTCAAGTCCCACATCAGGCTCTGTGCTGATAGTGCTGAACCTACCTGGGATTCTCTCTCTCTGCCCCTCCCTCA